ATAGGCTACTTTGTACCGTGATAACCGACATACATTCGGGCAGAGCCGATGGCAAGAGCTAGTATTATTAGATATCTGATAATTGCCTTGCCTTATAAAGTGGGTTCATGGACCCACATATAAATTTTACTTAAACCACATTATTTTTAATAAATTTTAACGATCTGCCCTCTTTTTCTTTGGTCATTCATAATTGTTCTGAACTTAAATAACTTTAATATTTTTTCTAGATTGCATCAGCGTTTGCATTAAAATTCTGGAAATCCTAAATATTTCTTTGTTTTTTTTTTATTTTTATGGTTCCGTACCTCAAAAGGAAAAAACGGAATCCTAACCCTTGTCCGTCCGTCTGTCTGTCTGTTAAGAGCCTTTATCTTGGAAACGCGATTAGGTATCAAGTTGAAATTAAAACGATATACTCAAGTCGACAGTCTCTTGAAGCTGTAAAAAAGTCAAACTTCTAAATTAACGTAAAAAAAATTACGGCCGTTTATGTCGCAAAAAGCGTATATTTCGACACTCAAGGGAATCAAAATTTATATGGTATTATCCGTTGACCGAGAACTATGAAATATAGCAAGTAATACCGTTTTATACCACAAGTATAGGGAAAAATCTGAAAACTATAAATTTGTAATTAAATCATACAAAAATACAGGGTCTTTATGCAAGGAACGGGCGGTCCAAATTTTGAATTGAGTTAATCGTGTCATGTAGGGTATCCTGTGAAAGGGCTTCATTGGGACAAGCTTTAATAGACTTTAATTATTTTTGTGATGTATAGTTTTCGATTTATGACGAAAAATGAATAAAAAAGGCTACAATTTTTTATAATATGTACCTACAATTTCTAAAATTTTCCCTCCAATTGTTATTTTAGGCGCGTCGCGTCACATTTCAAAAACCTAGTAAGCTCATTTACCATAACTAAACCTAGTAAGTGCATGTGACTTGCTATGTTTTGAAGTGGTAAAGGCGAGTTACTAGGTTTTTGATGGAGTATAGTATACTTACTAGGTTTCATGGTGTCAAGATATCTGTTATTCCTAAGATTTTACAGCAGGTGTATTAACAATTCGACGCAACGTAATATAAAAGTTCGAAATATGCAACAAAAAGGATTTCAGAAAAAATGTGCCTTACTGGGTTTTGATTTGAGGTACCCGAAGGTCCATGGGCCGCGGTAGTCACTTAACATCAGGTGCCGTTTAAAAAAACGTTCTATTTACGACAAAATTTGCAAAGTATTAAGTGTAGGTAAACTATTATACTTACACGGTGCGTAGTATAGGATCCAACCGTCCACCCTCTTACAGAACTCTGGTAACCCTCACATTCAACAGCAATTAGTAGGTACTACTGTCTAATGTAGATGTAGTAGAGTGGTGGTCTTGCCCACTCGAACGGCCCCTCTACTAGACATCTGCTTTGCCCTAACTCTGTTTGAACTGCCATTGAAGGGTTGTCCATTCTGCTAACCTCTATGAGTAAACTTATTTTAAAATTAGTTTTCACATATGACATAATTAATGTATAGTCCTTTAAATTACGATTCCAAAGGACGTTAAATATTGTTACGTGTTTTTAATATTAATGTGGTTCGTCAACGGATATAAATTGTTTAAGTGACAAAGAAATATGTACGTATATTGTGTGTAAATCGTTCATCCGTCTTTACAATACTTTTTGTGTCTATTGTTTTGCGTGGCACCGAACAATAAAATATGGTGTTCTTACCATTACGTGGCTAATAAAGGGAACGCCCATCTTCGTCGTGTAAGTTTGCCATGTACCTTTTAGTCATTCTCGATATCGCCGCAGTGAAGTTAATACTTGCTATTTCCTTAAATTACATTCCTACTTAATAAATATCTTCCTTGCAACATTCGAAAATACTTGTGTAGTAGCTATTATGGATGGACTTTGGACTGGATGGAAGAAGTGTTTTAACACTTTCAAATTTTGCAGTTTTTTTTAATTTGATCACCATCTCGATGATGATTTATGGTCGGTTTCTTTCATGGCCTTTCGCCTAACGGACGAGCGTACTGCGCGTAGTGAGCGTACTACGCGAATGAGTAGGGTAGGACTACCCTATTTCTGCGTGCATTACTGTGTGCTTGTTTTTGTTTTTGTCTTAGCACAGAATCAATTATGCCTGTTGGATTTTAAATATTTATAAGCAAGCCCGCTTACGTATACCAAGACTTGCATGTATAATTTATGGGAAGGAATACTTAAACTCAGTAGGTACATTAGATAAATTGCACTACTGGGTACAATTGACGTACATATAGTCTTTCTAAATTCCGGTTGGCTGATTAAAAGTTTCAATAGATCGCGTGGACTCCCAGTGAAAATTAAAAAATATATTTTTTACCGGTCGCTCTGAAAAACTGATATCTTTAACTTCGTTTGTTAAAGCCTAACAACGCTTAAGCAATTTCCCTATCCATAAAGGATATTTTGCTCTGTTTTCCAATGTGAAGCTCCAGCAACAAACTGCTCGTTTTCCTACAGCACGGCGGATGTAAGACTCAATTTCTCTATTAATATCGTTAGGATACTATCTTAAGTAGACCTTAAGTACGATGGTACATTGTATTGTTAATACCCCATTTACAACTGACGCAACAACTTAATTTACAAAAAAAAATGTTTTATCCCCGTACCATCCGATTGAAATCTTGTAAGGACACCCACATTTGAAAACGTCCCTATCGCCATCTAGCGCAGGCAAGTAGGTTTAACTTGAATTGACGGTTAAGCGATACCACGAGTGACACCCGCGGTGGATTAGGCAAATGAAAAATACCCCTTATAATAAATAGATTTCAGTAAATTTTTTAAATACTATTTGACAAGAATAGTCAAGCCTAGATGACATCACTGAATTTAAAATATCTTTCGCAAAACCATGTAAGTAAAAACATCCTAAAAAATATATTTTTAACACATGTCTAACTTTATCTTCAGTGCCATATATTTTGCAAGAAGTTACAATTAAAACATCGTATCGTATGCGTAGGCTGACATCACTCAATCACGGGTAACGTACGAGTATACTTTGACACTAATTTATGTGAACATTAAAGTCCATCAGAACAATGTATTATGGTGACACGTAGTAGTTACTTTAATTTGTATCTACATATCTACCTACACAATAAATTAGCCTACGTTATTAGCCGAAAGTTAGGTGCTGCATACGTTATTAAAATGGATTTAAAGGTAACAAAGAAAACTCTGAACGCGTGTCAATTGAAATATAACAAAAATGGTAATATAAATCTTTATTAAAAATAAACAATGTTTTTTTTTTTTACAGAATTACGGATACTCAGACAACAAACAGAAAATAAAGTAAGCAGTATAAAGTGGTTAATTTAAAAACTTGAAACAAGATAAAATTACCAACCTGCTTACCATGTTGTTTACTACACGAAGGTTTTGAAGTGAGGAAGGCGATATATTTTATGGTAGCATAAAATTGTAATAAAACTAAAACATTTTACCATATGATTTTCAAAAGGTGTAAGTGTTACAGTGTTACTATTTATGAATAGAGAAGACTAGTATTTTATTTATAACTTTAGAGTACAACTATCTTATCTTTAATATTTGTGCACGGTTTCAATTTTGCATCAACCAAAGGTCGTTTTGCTGAGAAATTTCGCAGACACCGTTAGAGCAAAGAGCTTATTAAATGGACATCTTTAATGTTTCATAGTAAATAAAACACAGCTCTATACAGTTATTATCTTCTTTTAGAATTTAACAAAAAAGAGGACATTTCAATTATTATTCCATGATTCAATTCACTTATCAGTAGTATTATTTACATGCATGTAAATCAGTTAGATTAGCATTGAGTTGATCTTGGGTTATCTTTATTAATTTCTGTACAACTATGAATAATAAAACTGAAGATTTTTTATGTGCAGAGTAAGACTAAAACGTTTAAACAGGAAACAGTCATTATTTGTTTAAATAAACTAATCATTGGAAGCAACAGTCGTATTTGAATGTTTATTTTTGTATTGGATTGAAATAAACAATGTAACTGATATTAGCCTGATGGCTTTAACCTTTAGTAGATAATTTGGTGATCATAAACAAAGTTTATCCATCCACACACCCAGTGTGGATGGGAAAATCTACGGTGAACGCCTAGTTGCTTGTAAATTCAGAAACACATGGACAGATTTTAAGCAATCTCTTTTCATTTTAATTACTCATGTTTAACGACAAAGATATCTGGAATTCTTATCAGACCTTCTGTAATCTAAGTGAATCAGATGATGTAAGCTAAGATCATGGTGTACAGTTACGATATAATATAATAGAGTAGGAGGGTACGGTGGTGGTATCTAATAACTTTATAAAAATATCAAAAGATGGACACATTACATAGTATTTATATGATGATATATATCACAATTACAGGTCCTAGTCGTATAGTAAATGGCTATTATGGTAACTTGAAGTGCTACTGTCTACTTGCCAGCCGCTACACCGCTATATAATAAACTTAAATTCAATCAATTATGCCAGCATGAACTTATGAACAATGGCTTTTATGAGTTTCCTTTTTCTTATACTTATTTAATATATTAAATTAGCTAAAAGTAATCATATTTCTTACAATACCCTAAATAAACCTTAAATATTCTTAATACTCAGATAATACTGTAACAACGCCTAAATTCTAGTAAATGCAGTTATGCAGTAACAAGGCACCGGTAGCACCAAACTAGAACTAAGTAGGATTTATGTATTGCATGCATATGACATTGCATTGCATGATTTGGCAAGATAACATTTCTTAAAACTATGGCATAATTATTAACAAGACTAATTATTTCAGGACAGATACAGTATACCTGCACAATGGAATTGATTCAAAACATGCACTTTCTTATGTGGTGAATCATTGCCTTAAACGCCAAAAAAATGGAAATTCGACCTGTAAACAATACGAGTACACATTTAAATATCTGTCAAGCGGGTTGTTTGTTGGCAATGTCTACGTAGTCAACGACTTCCCAATTGCCTTCAGGTTCGTCAGGTATCTGCGGTGGTAAGGCTGATCGGACGAGAGGCACTCCAGTGTCGTCCAAAGAAAGATATTTTCGTATCGCTGCTGCCGCATATTCGTCGTCAGGCGTGGTCAACGCACGCGCATTGAAAGGACCTCGTACGTCGTTGTTAGGAAGTTCCCAAATGTGCCATTGAGCTGTCATCTTGAAGTTCTGTATATGAAAGAATATAGTTCATTAAGAAACGTTGAATATGCATAAACTCGTACGATCAATAAGCTTAAACCAACTTTTATAGCTTTTCTCAAATATTTTGCGGGCTTAATTTCATTTCAAATATTGATTGAGATTAATCAAGGTATCGATTTTACAGTGAAAAGCATGAGCTGCTGCGGTTAAGATATACTTGGTATATAGTTGGAATGGCTAATACTTTGTTAATATTTTTAAAAAGAAATTCTGTTAATCCCATTTTAGTTTGTCACTAACATAACTGAAAATATAAACTTAACGATCCAGGACTTGGCAAGGGTTAAATAATAAGGATAAAAAATGATATCAATACGGAGCAAGAGAAAAGATTTAAGTGTTCTCCCTTTTTTTAGGGTTGTGCAAAATGTTTTCTTTGTTAAGTTGTAATTTTGGGAACACTTATGTCAAGTATATTTACCCAATTAACGCAAAATTCAAATGTGCCACAGCGAAAATACCACATTCTCTCGTTATGAGTTTAGAAGCTGATTTAAATATATATTGTTAAAAGATATATTACCATCCGATCTTAAATAGTGTTTATACTTTACACATTTGAAAAGAAATAAAAATAATATATCCAATGTTAATAGCAAGTGCGGTAGCATATTGACGCCAGATGTGAATCAATTTATTTATCTTTTTTATTATCCTTGATATGTGAAAATTATATTGATTTTATTAGTACTATCATGTATAATGTTAGATATTATTATAGTCTATTATTATATACATTTAACAATGCATCGTAAACGTTGTAGGATTATACTTTGTATACATTTTCAGTTACTATTATTTGTAACTATATTTTACTTACGTCGTGACCGTGCTATCTTTGTGTCATGTGATGAACTTTGGAGTAAAAAATTTGTAGTTACTGATTAACCTAAAAATGGCATTGACATTTACTAAGTCATACTTTGTCATAATTACTTTACAAGACTTTGATGAAATCTTCACTTGTTGCTACAAAACTGTACTCGATCGTATTAATCGTTTATGAGTTAAGAGTTTCGTTCTAAGGTAAGAAATAAACGTTAAAAGTTCGTTTATATTCAATCCAAAATTAAAATTTCGTTTCGGTTTCGATAAATCTATGTCTATGTATATAGCTAGTATTCTTTCAATGGCCTGCCTAAATCTACCTTCTTTTTCCCTTTCTTTTCGTGCTGAAATCCCCTCGGATACCATCCCCCAGCAGGGTATCTATCTCGGACTCGAACCGACCAAAAACCACACACCGTCTCGGGTACTAGTAGCCGGGGAACTAGGTGTTCCCTAGAAAGGAAATCACAGAAACCCCGACGTTCCTCAGGCCATATACGGATTCTACATAACCCCCTCCTGTATGAGAACCCCGATGTTGACTCAGGACTAAGGATCTTCTACTGCCCTGATGATGTGGGAACAGAAGACCTCAAGGTTACTCAAGTAACAGCACCGTGACCCACGTTCGCTTGGAGGATTCGGATAAATGAATCCATTATTGGATTTCTATCTCCGCAACCCGCTGCGGACCTTGCCGCTCTCCACCACCCTCTCACCGTCCACGAATTAGGGGCAGACTGCCGGCCTTCCGGCTTCAGTCCTGACCTGGCGCAGGCCTTACTGCCAACCCGGTGGTCGGCAGGCTTACCCCCACTGCACAAATAAAGCAAGGCAGTGGAGTATCGCAAGGACCAGCCTTGTGACCGGACTGCTCACAGCGGGAGCCACCATAATAATTGAGTATTACGTACTAACATTAGTCCTTAAGTTATTTTGTTTGTACTAACCCTATGGACTATGTCTGAAATAAAGAATTTGAATAGGCACCGAAAGCACCTTGCCGGCTTGGCCTGTGGGAGTCACGCCCGTGCCTTCAGGAAACCTGCAACCAGGAGGCTTCGTCCCTCAACAACCGCTGCCCCCTGACCACTGGGGAGACTGATAGTGAGGATTTGTACCACATTGCTCATGTCGGACCTACAGGTCGTTTTTAAAACCCACACAAAATATAAACGTAACAATACACACATAATAAATTGTAGATATGTATGCCCAGTATGTTAATCAGCAGTCTGGTCACTATAGCACAGGCTCTGCCTAGTTTGGAGTCAGACAGTAGTATTATTCTGATTGTAGCTTTTTTTGGAAAAATTAAGTCACATCACTATGACTATCGGCAGTTATTTAAAAACTTTTTGGTACCCGCGCCTTCGTTTGCGTGGAATTTAAAAAGCGCTGCCTTAGTGGGTTCGATTCCCGGACCGAGCAAAATTTTAAAGGGTTTTCTGAGAGGAAAAATAGCCTTAGTTACTCCGTATATAGACAGCTATCGGGTAGTAAAATATTATCAAAATCGGTCCGGCCGTTTAGAAAATTACCCGGAACATACAGACCGATAGACAAAAAAAACTAAATAAGTATCGTGCAAATAACCGTGTGAGCATGAAAAATCCTGTCATTTTGACATTACAAACAGACCCTTCAATTTTATTTATTTGTATAGGTATGTCGTTAACAAAATTTAAAATAAATTACAGGCAAAGTTGCATTCCGTTGTTAATAATCTAGGATAGAACTTACATTTTGTCTTATAGCGAAAAAGTGAGTATGATTTTATCAACATAACACTGAAAGAATATAATAATAATCGGCAATTAGACGCTATCTGTCGTCAATTAAGAAGTACCTTGGTGGAGTACAACGTGTGCCCTTGTCCGCTTCCGTTTGAGGCTTATCTAGGTTCTATTGCACATGCGTGTTGCCGTGCATTTATCCACAATATGCTATTTACATGTTAATTAATTCATGATCGAACAGCTTGTTTAGTGTTTTTCGTTACACGTAAATCAATTGATATTTTGTAACAAAATGTGCATTCACGTAGATTTGGCTCGAAATTGTTTATTTAAAATTTAATTTATAAGAAAAACAATCAAAGCCTGCAGTAATTTTTTGTCTCAAAACAAAGTTCAGACTTAGAGGATCCGGCGAGCAAGCGGTTGTCTTCCTCTCCGAAGTAGATACTATTATTACTACCCCACTAATATTCTATTTTTTAATTTATCTACTCTATTTAAATAAAGTTTCAGTCAATTTCAAGAAACAAAAATATTAAGGTATACCTAAAAATGTTGAACTTTTTAATGAAGTATATTAACCACGTTTAATGTATTATAACTTTTATGTATCTTATATATAAAAGTTATCTGATCATCAATATTATAAAGGACTTAGTGTGCATGCTTTACAAATAAATAAAATCGATTTTTGTGTATGCAGTAGAGACAGTTGGTTATATCAACAGAATATAATTGAAAATAAGTCTTATCATCATCTATCATCATTTAACAGTCCAATGCTGGATAGAACGGACATCTTGGCCTACTATACCACGCTGGCCAAACGGATTGGTATAGGGTTTGTTTCAAGTTATCCTTCTCGTTGCAGTGCTGTTGTCCTCCGTAGTTTGCTCCCGGTCGGTTCTTATGACACCCATAGGATGAATATATCCTAAATCCTTCACTGCTGGACATAGGCCTCTCATTAGAAAGGAGGTTTTGGCCTACTATACCCCGCTGGTCAGACGTTTTGGTATAAATTACATTGTTATTACGAATTTCAATAAACTAATAGTACAATTAATGTATAATTAATGTACTTAATACATAATAAATAATAAACAATAGTATAATTAATGTACTTCCATGTGTTGATTGTTATCTACTTATAATTCTAACTGTGTATTAAAGTTAAATTTTACAGACTCTGGAACGGCTACATGCCCAAAAAACTCTTAAAAAGGTAATGAACAAATGGACAGAGTAACAGCTCACTTTTCCCTTTCACAAGTACTGTCTTGACACTCTTGTCTAATTTAGTACCAACAAATGATATTGATTATATTTTTCATGTCTGAACAAGAGTGATTAAATTTATATAACAACTTTCGAGTAAGTAATATCAGTTCATGTATTCAAGACACATTCACTTGACCGAAGTTAGATATTCTATATATATACATATATATGTACTAGCGGACCCGACAGACGTTGTCCTGTCAAATTTGACACTAAGATGGTAGCGCCGTCTGTCGGATCCAATGTAAAACATTCCAAAATCAACAACTACTAATAAATTAAAAATTAATTAAAAAAACATTGTCCAGCGGACAAAATTGTGAATCTAAACCATTCCCAGATCCCCTTGAACACACACAAAAAATTTCATCAAAATCGGTCCAGTCGTTTGAGAGAAGTTCAGTGACATACACACTCACAGAAGAATTATATATATAAAGATGTATAGTGTATGTCATGTAAGTATGTATACTGTAGATTGCACGGATGGCGTAGTCGTTTAAGCGGTCACCACGACGTTTACTACTACGCTACTACTAGTGTTTTGGTTCCGATGTGTGATCCATAAATTCTTGTTCTGAGTCTGGGTGTTCTTTGTGTCCTTTTCATGTATGTTTGTCAAGTCCCCCGCGACACAGGATATTTTACTAATACGGGAGTTATATATATATACGTATGTATATAAAAGCAATAGCAAATACGATTATAAGACTTAAATAACTCTCTACATTAAATAGGAATATTTTATTGTTAGTAAGCAAGGTATAATCGAAGGTAGATTTCATCGCTAAACTGTAGTTTGCAATGTATGCAACTTTGTATTTAAATAATTATATGATTACTGTAGGTAAATAATAAAGCTTAGTTTTAATTTACGAAATAAATGCAGAAAGAAGTTTTTTCCATTTGAAGATACATATTACATAAAAAATTGTAATTGATTTTAGACATTATAATAATAATAATAATAATAATAACCTCACACATCTCACACACGGCCGTCTGATCCCAAACTAGGCAGAGCCTGTACTATGGTAACCAGACTGCTGATAAACATACTTATAAATTTTTAAATACATACATATTATAGATAAATTACACCCAGAC